GGCGATGCTACTTCTGTGTTCGTTGCCCGAAGATGATTATGGTACGTTCGTTCTCACTATGATCAATGGAAGAACTACAGTTAGCTACAAGGAGGTGACCTCAGCTTTGGTGAACTATGAGTTGAGGAAGAGTGATGGTGAACCCTCCGAGAAGGCATCGGGAGATGCGTTAGCAGTTCGAGGCCGAGATCCAAACCGTCGTCAGTTTAACCGCTCAAAGTCAAAGAATAGGAGTGCCTATAAGAGTGTTGGTAGAAATCAATGTCGGTATTGTAAAGAAGAAGGACATTGGAAGATTGACTGCCCAAAGTGGAAAGAAAAAGCCGGAAAGAATAAGGGGAAAGCTGCACAAGCTTCAGAAGTGAATGTTGCAAAAGCTATTGGTGAGCATTCAGATTCAGATTCTTCAGGCTATTCATGCCCTGCTTTACCGTCGGTTTGCTATGCGGATTCCACGGAGTGGATGATGGATTCGGGAGCTACATATCACATCTGCCCTAAGAGGGAGTGGTTTTCTAGCTTTGAGGAGCTGGAAAGAGGGGATGTCGTGCTTATGGGTAATGATCACGTATGCCCTATTGGTGGTATTGGTTCAGTCCGGATCAGGATGCATGATGGTGTAGTGAGGGAATTGAAGGAAGTGAGGTTCGTGCCGCAGTTGACGAAGAACATCATTTCTCTTGGGACTTTGGAGGCAGCAGGATATCGAGTGATCTTAGAGGATGCTACAGTGAAGGTCACGAAGGGTTCTATGGTGGTGATGCGAGGTGTCAGGGAAAACTACCTATACTACTTGAAGGGCAAGACAGTTACAGGGGGTCTGGCAGCTTCTATCACTACAGAGGAGGACACTACCACCTTATGGCACATGAGACTTGGACACACAGGAGATAAGTCCCTACAGTCATTGGCTAAACAGGGGCTATTGAAAGGTGCTAAGACCTGCAAGATGGAATTGTGTGAGCATTGTGTACTTGGGAAGAAGACTAGAGTGAAGTTCGGCACCGCTGTTCATAACACCCAAGGTACATTGGATTATATTCACACGGACGTTTGGGGTCCTTCCAAGAACACATCTCTTGGTGGGGCCAACTATTTTGTCACTTTCATTGATGATTATTCCAGGAGGAATTGGGTATACCCGATGAAGCATAAACATCAGGTCCTGGATATTTTTGTGGAGTGGAAAAAGAAAGTGGAGCTGCAGACAGGTAGAAAGGTGAAGACTCTACGTTCAGATAACGGTGGAGAGTACAAGAGTGATCCGTTTCTGCAGTTTTGCCGGGATCACGGCATTAGAAGACACTTCACAGTTCGAGAGACACCGCAACAGAACGGGGTGGCTGAGAGATTGAACCGTACCTTGCTGGAGAAGGTGCGGTGTATGATGACGCAGAGTGGATTGCCTAGATCTTTTTGGGCCGAGGCGTTGGTTTATGCGAGCCATCTTGTGAACAGGTTGCCGTGCACTGCGATAGACGGGAAGACTCCTTTGGAGCGTTGGTTTGGTTCGGTGGCTAGTGACTATGAGTCGCTTCGGATATTCGGGTGTCCAGCTTATTATCATGTCAGTGATGGCAAATTAAATCCGAGAGCGAGGAAAGCAGTCTTTGTGGGATTTAGGGATGGAGTCAAAGGCTTCAAGTTATGGGATCCACAGGACAAGAAGATAGTTATTAGCAGAGATGTCACATTTGACGAGGCGTACATGATGAGGCCTCGAGCCCCTCAGCAGGTGGAGGGAGACCAGACAGGAGAGATATCGCAGCAGGTGGAGGATGATGTGACTCCACCCACTCCAGAGAACACTGTATCCATTGAGGCTCCTACAGAGGTGACACTGGGAGGAGATGAGATGACAGATGGGCAGATACAGGATACAGTAGATCATGGGACTCAGGAACAGGGTCATGTTCAGAGGACCATTGCAGCAGATAGACCGAGGAGAGAGATTCGTCGGCCAGCTAGGTATAATGATGTCATGGTCGCATATGCATTATCAGTGGAGGTCGTTGATGATATGGTTCCAGCCACATTCAGGGAGGCAGAGTCTAGCCCCGATTCGATCAGGTGGAGGGAAGCTATGGAGGAGGAGATGCGGTCTCTTCAGAAGAACGACACTTGGACACTTGCACATCTACCTAAGGGTAAGAAAGCTATTGGTTGCAAGTGGGTATATGCGAAGAAGGAGGGATCTTCTATTGGGGACATTCGGTTCAAAGCCAGATTAGTTGCCAAGGGATATGCACAGCTTGAGGGCATTGATTACAACGAGGTATTTTCACCCGTTGTGAAGCATTCGTCGATTCGGATTTTATTGGCGTTGGTGGCACAGTTGGATTTGGATTTGGTCCAGATGGATGTGAAGACAGCCTTTCTACACGGTGATTTAGATGAGGAGATCTACATGACACAACCACAGGGTTTCAAAGCTGCAGGAAAGGAAAATTTGGTTTGTAAGCTGAAGAAGTCTCTTTATGGTTTGAAGCAGTCACCAAGACAGTGGTATAAGAGATTCGACGGCTTTATGATTGGCCGAGGGTACACGAGGAGCCCATATGACCCATGTGTTTATATGCACAAGCTACAGGATGGTGAGCTCATATATTTGCTTTTATATGTTGATGATATGCTTATTGCTTCCAGGAATTCTTCGGCTATTCGAAAGCTGAAAGAGGAGTTATCATCCGAGTTTGAGATGAAGGATCTTGGAGAGGCAAAGAAGATATTGGGTATGGAGATCGAGCGAGACAGGGTGAAGGGGAAATTGAAGCTTACACAGAAGAGCTACTTGCAGAAGATGTTGAAGAAATTCAGCTTTGATGGCAATGCAAAAGCAGTTAGCACACCATTGGCTCCCCACTTCAAGCTTTCAGCGTTGATGTCACCTGTTTCAGTTGAGGACAGAGATTATATGTCGAAGGTCCCATATGCTAGTGCAGTAGGTAGCTTGATGTATGCGATGGTGTGTACGAGGCCAGATTTGTCACAGGCCGTGAGCATGGTATCGAGATACATGCATGACCCCGGGAAGGGTCACTGGGAGGCCGTGAAGTGGATTCTACGGTATGTTCGAGGCACCGTGGATGTTGGTTTAGTATTTCAGAAGGATGAGAAGGATGGGCAGGCTTGTATTGGATATGTGGATTCAGACTATGCTGGAGATCTTGACAAACGCCGGTCTACGTCAGGTTATGCTTTTACATTGGCAGGTGCACCTGTATGTTGGCGTTGCACGCTTCAGTCCACAGTGGCTCTCTCTACTACAGAGGCAGAGTATATGGCAGTTACTGAAGCTATTAAGGAGGCTTTATGGTTGCGTGGATTATTGGAGGACTTGGGGATTGCTCAGGAGACTATTCGGATATATTGTGATAGTATGTCGGCTATCTATTTGGCGAAGAACCAGGTTTATCATGCGCGCACGAAGCACATCGACGTCAGATTCCACTTTGTACGGGACGTCTTGGATGATGGAGATGTCATATTGGAGAAGGTCCACACAAATGACAACCCTGCAGATATGTTGACCAAAGTTGTTTCAGGAGTGAAATTTGGTCATTGTTTGAAGCTTTTGAACATCCTTCAGTGCTGAGGCCTTTGGAGGCCATTATTATGAACTACGTTCGGCTTGATTCCTTGGGCAAGAGGATACGTAGGCAGTCTTTAGATGCAGCCGGTTTGATCAGTTGATCAAGATGGGGGGAGATCGCGTTTCAGCTCGAGTATTGTTCCTGGACTTGTTGAGGAACTATTGGATGATTTGGTGTCGGCTCAGTTTTTTGGTGGAAACATTCGCCGAGGTGGAGAATTGAAGAAATTACAGAAACTCAGAAGAATCAGGAAAACCAAAGGAGGTCGGTCGACCGGCCCGGTCGACCGCAGATGTTTCGGTCGACCGGTGCGGACGACCGACGGCTCTCTGGATTTTTGGGGCTTCTGCTGGATGGTGATCGGTCGACCGGGCCGGTCGACCGGAATTGATCGCGGTCGACCGGTCCGGTCGACCGACGCTGTTTTGGACTGGGCTTTCAGGTTTTCGACCCGATTCGTTTTGTAAGTTCTATATATACCTAAACCTGTTTGTTTAGGGTAGAGGTTGGACGAATTTGAGCAGCCAAAGAGAGAGAATCATTGCATCCAATTGTGAGAGAGCTTTGAGAGATCTAGAGCTTTGTTTTAGGGTTTGGTCTGAGAGATTTGTAACCCTATTTGTATTCTCTTGATTTCTAGTAGAAAGAACTCCCCCCTCCTTGCCCCGTGGACGTAGGCAACTTGCCGAACCACGTAAATTTTTGTTCTTGCTGTGATTGTGGTTTGCATATTATTTGTGGTTTAGTTCAAGTTAGTGTTCGTGTTGCCCTAGAAAGCTTCCGCCGCGCACAACATTATTTTCAAACATCCCGACAACATTTACACAAATAACGAGATATCCTAAGAATTTTAGAGAATGTCAATAATTCAAATCTCCCCTTTAGACGTTATTTATTTCTTACTTCTCAAATTCCACCAAGCGGCAACCTTTAAAAGTACAGTGGTACTCTGCAATCAAGATTGCCAGTTTTCTGTTGTCCTTTGCTCATCAACATCTGTTGTATTATCTTTATCAGACTACAGTTACTGATGCAGCGAATGATGCTGGCAGTGAGATCTCAACAGTGAGAACTAAGAAGGCTTGCCTTCTACATAAAGTACAGTTTGGTAACTTGAGCATCCACTGTTACGTACTGCCTTCTCTCATTCTCTGATTACTTCTCAAGAATCACAAGCAAAACAATGCGAAGAAAAAAAATTTACGCAGTCCTCCAACATTTAAAGGGACCATAATTCCAAAATAAAACATTCTGCAAGATATAACACAACCCCTGAAGGATGAAATCTCAATTGATTTTTTAACACTACATGTACTGTAAGCTTACAATACCCGTTTACTCCTTTCTTAACCTGAAAGATGAGAGGAAAGTTGTCCTTCTGAACCCTTCAA